TGCTGCTGCTGCTGTTCCCAGCGCCGTTGCTGCTGCCGCTGCCCCCCGCCGCCTCCAGCTTGGCTGCGCGAGCCTTGGTCTGGTGCAGGACAGACCTCATGTGGATCTCCAGCGTTGAGCTCTGGCTGTAGGCCACGTTGCAGGTGTTGCACTTGAAGGGTTTGTTGTCTGGGCTGCTGGTGGGTTCGGGCTGCCCGGTAGCAGACTCTTGGAGGGCTCTTTTCAGTTTATGCAGATGGGAAACGGAATTGTAATGGACCAGGAGAATGTTCTTCTGCGTGAATGACTCCTTGCACACCGTGCACTTGTACGGGCGAGACGGATCCAGGAATTTCTCCATCGTGAAGTTCGGGCCCTTCCTGAAGGGCAAGGCCCTTTTCGGTTCGGAGCCAGAGTCCTCTTGCACCGACCCTGAGTCGCTCCCAGTCGGGCTCTGCTTATCCTCCAGGTCGCTCTCCTCCTCCTTGTCTTCCTCCACTATGATAGTGTGGTCTTCAGCGAGCGAAGGGTCGCCCATGGCGAGGAGGTCCCCGTTGACTAGGAGCCCCCCGTAGAGCTGCTGGATGTCTGCCTCGCTCAGCTCCAGGTGGCTGGTCTCCAGGTGCTTCTTCAGGGCCTGGAAGGTGCGGAAGCTGCGCTGGCAGAGGCAGCACATGGTGGCAGCGCGGATGACGTGGTACTGGGAGTGCAGCTGCAGCTTCTCGATGGTTTTGAAGGCCAGGCTGCACTGGTTGCAGCGGTACTTGTAGACGTGGCGGTCAGACACGGGCAGCTGCGGCCGCTTGGCGTGGACGTCGTTGAAGTGCGTCTGCAAGGCTGCCGAGCTCTTGAAGGCCTGGCTGCAGCCCTTCTTCCAGCACAGGAACCCCGCGTCCTCCCGAGCACAGGTCTGGTCCGGCTGCGGCTTGGGGTCTGCGCTGTGCTCGGCACCGTCCGGGGGCAAAAGGCTCTTGGCCGAGTCCTCGGAGACCTCTGTGAAAGCAGAATGGGAGCAAAGCTGAAAACAACACCGGCACACAAGGGCAGATCAACGCCCTTCTTTTGTCCCTGATACATCCCTGTTCTGTTCTCTGCAAGACTATAGGGATTTTTAACATTTCTCCTCCATCTTCATCCATTTATTTTAATACCAGCCCATTACCCTCATCATGGCCCATTGCATAAACCCACACAATTTACTTTCTTGCCCCCTTCGAATATCTGGAGAACATTTGCACACACGTGTCCCGCTAGTGCATTTATCACCTTTAATTCTTCCTTTTCAGTGAAGGCCATTCAGCCACCTGCCTTTGCTGTGCTTCTTTGATGTCCTGCCTATTTTGCAATGAGGATGTTGATCAAACTGAACGCAGTATTTGAGTCCTAGTCCTGTCAAAGCCAGAAACAACAGGAGCGGAACTGGGGTCCTGCTGGCAGCAGCTCAAAGGGCGCTGTCTGAGGGAGGATGGGAGCAGCAGGAACAGGTGCTGGGTGCACTGCCACTTTTCCGGGGTCTGAGAGCAGAGTCCTGCTGGAAAGGACAGCGTGATCTGGGCAGAGCCCCAAAATGGGATCTGGGTACCCAGGGCAGCACTGGCTACACCCTGGTTGTGCCCGTGCTGCCCCAGCAGCACCACTGCCTTGGGGCCGCTTGCCTGGAAGGGAGTGAGCGATGCCATCCTCCTCCTGTGCCCCTACAGCCATGGTCATTCCCGGATTCCTACAGACCTTCCCGGAGGGTGCAGGAGGAGCACGGGCACTGCTTCCCAGCCAGGCATGGGTCAGACGCTCCTGCCATGCAGATGATGCTCCTGGGATGCTCTCACCAGAGTCAGGACTCAAAGCCAGGGATTTACAGCCATAACACAGCACGGCTGAGGAGATCTGGGCAGGTAAGGACTGCAGGCCCCAGGCGCAGCCCCTGATGGGTGCCAGGAGCCGGGGAGCGCTGGGACCCCGCACTCACCAGGCTGCTTCCCCAGCTCCTCTGTGGCCGAAGTCCCGTCCTTCTCTGGGGCAGCTGCCGGGAGGAACATGCTGCTGGGCATCATCACCTCCGGGGTCGTCACCTGGAGACGGGCGAGAGGAAAAACACAGGAAAAGGCTTTAAACAGCGCCAGCGGCAGAACCAGATGCAGCATTGTGAAGTCAGAGGCGTCACTTTTCATAGCTCACTGAAGACTCGTATTTATTAGACAAAGCTCACATCAGTCAAAAGTGTTTCTACAGTTACATTCTGGACATAATTAGCAGTGCACACTTGAAGAATAATCTTATTATTAATATTTTTCCTTTATGTAGAATTCAGACTTTGATCACTGACAATGTTTTGTCATGGGCTGTGAAACTTCTTGTGCAACCAATTAGGTAGATAAGTTGAAAGGCCCACCTTAAGCTGCTGAAAACATAATAAGGCCCCTAATTAAATCATCCCTCGTAAAGTACACTGTAATCTTGAACTAGGGAGCATTGCGGCACTGTTTTCAAAGTGTATCGATGCAGGAAAAGGAGGGGCATGAGAAAGAGAAGTACAAATAAGGAGAGAGGTGACAAAGGAAAGGATGAATAAGGAAAGACTAAAAAGACGGCAAATTGTCTGCGAAATGAAAAGCTTTGGTAACCCTTTCCTTGCTCTGACTGATGCCTCCCCTGCGCCTCTGCAAGCGCCTGCCAAGAACCTGCACCAGCACCACCAGTGCAGTGCTCCAACACCAGAAGAGTCTGCGTGCTTCAACCAGAGATGCTCTCTGACAGAGTCAAGTGTGAACGCTGATGGTTTTCTGGAAAACGGTGTTTCTTGGTATACCCAGTCATGCACAGAGCACCACAGGAACTGACTTGCCAGCAGCTCCCACATGGCTGCCATTGGCCGCAGGACGTCGAGCGTCCTTCTGAAGAGCCAGGGTCTCACCCTGCCCAGCCCCAATCCCCAGTGCAGCAATGGGATGGCAGCCTAGCACAACTGGCACAGCCGTGCTGCGCTCCAGCACCGTGTGGGTGTCCATGGCCTCCATGGCTCCAAGCTGCTGCGTACAGCTCCGAGCTGCTGCGTGCGTCCCCGCTGTGCCCAGGAGCCTCTCCCTGCCACCAGGACTGCAGTGCTTGAAGGAACAGGACCCAACACTGCCGTGTGATGCTGGGGGGCTCCTGCTCCCCACTGCTGACTGCTGGGAATGCACCCGGACAGGCAGGTTCCTGGCAGGACAAGGCTCTCCAGTCCCTGCTGGGCACAAGGAGGGCAGCTGAGCCCTGGATCTCAGCAGAGCGCACGAGGGAGGCTGCTACAGGCACTGAACTGTGCTTTCTGCAGAGGCGAGGAGCACATGGCTCCGAGCGACTGCAGGAGACATCAGGACATCCGTGGTGGGGCTGAAGGTACCGTGCGCAGGATGTGGAACCGTCCTGATCTACAGACATGTCAAAGCCAAGCAAACACAGCCCAGACCCTGGCTGAACCAAGCGAACAGAGCAAAAACAGCCCATGAGAAACCTCGGAAAGAAACACTGGCAAATGGGAGGCTGTGGACACTGGACCTGAACTGGGGAGGGATGCTGAGCTCCCCTGTACTGGGATGGACACTGAGCTCCCCCCATACTGGGATAGATGCTGAGCTTCCTGTACTGGGATGGATGCTGAGCTCTCCTGTACTGGGATGGATGCTGAGCTTCCCCATACTGGGATAGATGCTGAGCTCCCCCATACTGGGATAGATGCTGAGCTCCCTGTTCTGGGATGGATGCTGAGCTCTTCCTTACTGGTATGGATGCTGAGCTCCCCCATACTGGGATGGATGCTGAGGTCCCCCTGTACTGGGAGGGATGCTGAGCTCTTCCTTACTGGTATGGATGCCGAGGTCCCCCTGTACTGGGACGGATGCTGAGCTTCCCCGTACTGGGATGGATGCTGAGCTCCCCGTACTGGGCCTGCACCAGGCCCCAGAGATGTCTGCCAAAAAGGCAGCTGATGCTGATGGATCACAGGAGGGAAGCTGTGCACACCAAATTCAATCCCGTTCTCCTGGAAGCCGGGGAATCTGACGGCTGCGGGTGGTGGTCGGCAGACGTGAAAGGTCACCGTTAATTCCCGGTAGCTGGGCTCGGAGGAGGGGGACGAGCGGGGACGCGAAGGAGGGAAGGAGAGAAAGAGCCGTCCCTCTCAGCTCTATCAGCAGGGAGAGCGCTTTCCTAGGATCTTTAGGAATTATGAAAAATAAATCATGAGAAATTAAAAAAAACCCCAGCAGAGTAGAAAAAGAATAAAATTATCTAACACCTCAGCTGCACATCATTATAGAAAACTGTGGGCTTTTTATACGCATTACAGTAAGGCAGCCATCCCCACTACCACACTCAGTACGACGGATCAGTAATTGTTTTCATACACTTTAATTAGAAAAACTCAGATGGCTATGAATAATAATGGAAAAGAGAGACTTTTGCACTTGAAAGGTTGAAGTCAATCAAGTGTGAATGACGGCAAAAAAGAAAAAAAAAAGACACCAATTCATCAGGCCTCTGTTGTCTCGCCGCGTCTTTAATCATAATTCCTGATTGGGATTCAAGAAGGCAGTAAGCAGCGGTTCTTTGTCTGCCTTCACCTTCCGTCAATTAACTCTCCCCGAAATATAATCATCAACCTCACACGCTCCTCTGCATCTTAATCTGGGGCTCCAAACCAGTAAGTCCTGCCCTATATGTGTTTAAGTAATTACCTTTATCTACCTGTATCTCCATAGCCACAGTTCTCACCCTCCTTCCACCCCTCCCTCCACAGCAAAATAAAAAAGAACAGAAAAGGGGGTGAAGAGGGAAAAAGCGGTGGCACATTAAATTGCTACAGGCACAAAACCCCCACGGGCAAACAGAGAGAAGCTTGGGAAAGGTGCAGGCCACTGGAAATGTGGGCACGGGTGCTGCAGACGGGGCCGCAAAGCCTTGGGAAGGCGGTGCTGCTCTGCTCAGCTCCGGGAGCTGGGTGCTCTCCCTGCTCAGCACCACCCAGGATGGTCCTGGGGGGGCCGCCCCTTCGCCCCTCCATCCTCCAGGGCAGGACCACGCGGTCCCTGCACCGCATGGACCACCAAGGCAGACATGGTGGAAACAGGCCGCACGTCTCACATCGTTACGTATTTACACTGATTGCACACTGCCCGTCTGAAACAATTTGTCCTTTGGTGCTGCAGACCGACCAGGGATGCTCCATTTCCCTGCATGCACAGGAAACGCCTCGCGCTGCAGCTCCTTTCCCATCACCACAACAGCGGGAGCAGCGTGGACAGAGAGGTTGGGCAGGACACGGCCACCGGCGGGTACAGGAGACACCACGCTCTGCGACACAGCGCTTGCTCTCCAGGTGTATCTCAACAGCATCGGCTGGTGTGTGCCCCCCCCGCACACAGCCGGTGGATGCTGAACAACCGCCACCTCCCTCGCACCCGCGCAGGCAACACCCGGCACGCGGTGCCGTGCCCCCAGCCCTGTTCAACTGCCCTTCAACACTGGCCTGTCCGCAGTGGCAATGCCTCCGTCAGCGAGAATTGGTATTAAAATACAGCCCTACAGACCAAAGGCTGTGATTTGTCTTCTTCCTTCAGAGTCAGCACCTCCAGGAAAACCCCTGACGCTGGGGCAGGGATTCAGGGCACACACTGTGCTGTCTGTCCCTGTCCCCATCCCTGTTCCTGTTCTGCCCTGTAGGGCAGGGAACTCATCTGGGCAAAGAGCAAAGGAGGAGGAAGTCTGGGCCAGAGACTGTGACAGCCCCTTCTGCACCCCACGGTGAAACATCTCCTCTGCGGTCTGCACTGGAGAGGGGAGCACGGTGGAGAACTCTCCTCTGCAGATGGGAACATTGGCTGGAAACCTCCCCATGGAGATGGGAACATGGTGGAGAACTCCCCTCTGGAGATGGGAACACTGGATGAGAAATTCCCCCTGGAGATGGGAACATTGGCTGGAAACCTCCCTTGGAGATGGGAACAGCAGCCATGAACTCCCCTCCAGAGCAGAGTGCTGAGAAGCCCATCACCTGCCTTACAAGATGGGAGGTTGTAGGGACAAGCCTCTGCTTCCACGGACCCTCCCTTTCAGATGAAATCCAGATCCCTCAAGCAGATCCCATTTCTTTATGTTGCTGAGATCACTGCTGTGTGTGGGCACCTCAGTTTGAGGGCCATTTCCACAGGCAATGTGGTCCCGAGTGATGCAGAACCCCCAGGGCCTCACTGCCCCACACGTGCCCTCGCAGATGGCACAGGCCCTGTCACCGGTCTGAGGACAACCCATGGGCCCTCGCAGTGACAACCCATGGCAGTGACAGGCTCCTGCCACCGTGGCTCCGAGGTTTTCAAGGCGATGAATGGTGGAGCCGCTGATCATGGGCCGAGACGCAGCCCCCTCCTGCACTGACACGCGTATTCATGGCACGTCCGAGAAACTCCTCCTGGCCAGCGTGAGCAGCCAGCGCCCCGCAGCCGCCCGCTCACGCCTCCCTCTGGACCAGGCTGCCCACGGTGTGGATGGTGCAGGTCCTGTGAGTGCCCCAAAACGCCGGTGTGGGGCGGCTTTGAGAAGCAAATCTCTGGACGGGGTCTGCGGAGACACAGTGCTGTCCCCATGCCCGTGTACCAGGGGGAAATACACCCGCCACGCAAGGTTCCCAACCAGACAAAGGAGGTAATTTCCATTACAAAGAGAGAGAGAGGGTGCTGGAGTGAAAAGCTTCATTAGACTCAGAGAGGCAAAGCGATGGCAGTATACCAAGGTCACTTCTAATTTAGACCATCTAATTGGCAAACATGGCTCCAAATGGCTATCATCTCACAGGGCTCAGAATTAATGAAGCCCGATTATTTTCATTACCTTCATCCGAGATGGAGAATGAGACACAGAGTGAGAGGGAAAGGGGGGGAGTGGGAGGGGGCGAGAAGGAGGGAGAGAGAAAAATTGAATGACAGCAGAAGGGAGAGAGCAATAAGAAAAGACAATAGCAAAGAAGGGAAAAACGTGAAGACGGCAAGAGGAGAAGGGAGGATGGCAGGGACAGGGCAGAAACGCTCCAAAAGCAAGGAAGAGATGGCTGAAGCAGCAGGAAGACGCCCTAAACCGAGGAAGAGCGAACTGACAACAGCCACGGCGGGAGAGGAATGTGCAGGAGGACGAACCGCGGGAGGAGGGAGCGCTCCCTGCTCCCAGAGGCTCTCGGGAAGCCGTCCCTGCTCCGGCTGCAGCCCATCAGTCTTGTCAATCGCCGGTGCGGGCGAACTGCACTTCACCCTCATTAAGGGGCTCTGTGCTGCGGCGGTGCAGGCCCCAGCTCAGCCCAGAGGCTGCTCTGTGGAAAGATGGCGATCAGACCTGCTCACAGCGGCCGAGAGCCACGTGAAGTAATTCGGCCTCCTTCGCCCACCAGCCCCGCGGAGGGGAAGTCACAGGGGATGGGGGAGCCCCTGCCCTGCCCCATGGGGGTTTTCCTGCCCGTTCATATCACAGGCACATGGGGTGTGCTCCTCTCCATGGCTGCAGCCCCGTCCCCGTGCCCGGCCGTGGGGAGGCCCCGGTGTCCCCTGGGAGCGCCAGCGCGGCTGCTCGGGATGAAAAGGACGGGCAGACACAGCAGCCCGAGATGCTGAGCACAGGCAGCAGCCGTTCCCATGGCAACAGACATATTAGACACTGCAGGTTCCTGAAAGGCGTCTGATAAGGTATTATTAACTGGAGCCTCCTCCGAACGCCGGGCGCAAAGACGCTGCATCCAAAGGGACCTGGCTCCCATTTACCGGACTGCAATTCCCTCGCGGCGGCACCAGGACCCGATTCGTGTGTCAGACTGAGACAGGAGCCTTGGCTGGGATGAGCAAAATCAGGAGCCTTCAGTGCCGCCAGGTCCTGCACAAGCCATACTGATTCCTCAAAATATCTGCCATTTAATGCAAAAAGAACAGCCCTCCTGACCCACTCCTGTGTGCCCTGGGGCAGGAGAGGCCTCGGGACGCACCTCTGGGTACCAAAGGAAACCACCAAAGGGTGGAAACGCTTGAGAGAAGCCAGAGGATGAGGTTCAGGGCTTGAGCCATCCTCAGGGTGCCCAGCAGGAGCCTGCACACCACAGCAGGATGGATGCGCTCACCCGAGGGGCCTGTCCTGCACCACAGCTGCTTTGGCCGCAGCCCAGTGCGGTGTCCTGGCCCCTGGACCAGTGGCCGCTGTGTCCTTGCTCCCTGGGGGACGCAGACCTGGCCAAGAACACCCACTGCAGCCCCATGAGGAACAACCACTTCACACCGACACAACCGATGCCCTCGGCAAACTGGTTATGCTTGTGGGCGTGAGGACGCTCAGCTTCTGCTCTTGTGCGGTCATGGTGTCTTCCATCCAGTTAGCCAGGAGCCAACCAGATCCCTTCAGGTCCCCTAAGGTGTTTACTCGCTGCCATCAGTCCACAGGGATGCGGGTGGCAGCGTGAGGTCTGTGCTGGGACAGCTCCTGGCCCCATGGCCACGGCAGCGTTGTGGGGTCAGCGAGCGGCTGGGGCTCCTCTCCCCGCCTCCCTACACAGTGGTGCTTGGGGAGTGTTGGGGGGGAATTTAAGGGGTTTTATGATGTGACACCTACCTGGGGTTCAGGTGGTTCTTGCGGGTGGTCAGGACCATTGGTCCAATCGTGGCCACCGCGAGCCCTTGTGGCTTTTTGGGGGGCGGGAGGACCCCTCGGCCCCTCCCAGAAAAAAAAAAAATCGTGGCCACCGCGAGCCCTTGTGGCTTGTGGGGCGCAGGATGCACTCTTGGCTCCTGCAGAGCCCAATGGGGCCAAGAGGGAGGGCAGAGAAACGAGAGCAGGCAGCTGGTAAAGCAAAGGGGAAGATGAAGAGCACAAGGACATTTGAGAAGGAGCCACCAGAGGCCTGGGAGGGGGACAGAGAGAGAGCAGAGGAGCAGAGCTGGGGGTGCTGATGGCCCAGCCAGTACAGGACACGTGGATTACAACACTGCCAGGGATTGGCAAAGGGAGAATGGAAGCAGAAATGGGGTGCAAGGGAAAAAAATCAGAGAAAGAACTGTCAGGAATCACAATAAACACTTGTTTTATACACTTGTGACAAGTTCTTAAATGCAGACACAACCTTGCCTTGAAGATTGTACCAAAGAAGTGAGTGTAGAAATCTGACAATACATCCCATTTGTGAATTTAGAAGGGTTTTTGAAAATGTGCCTTATTAATTCTACCTGTATCTTAAACTGACACCAGCGAGTGGAAAGGCGCACGCATATGAAGCCTATGAAAAGGGAATTCATGACAGGAACGTTCTGGACTCCAGACGTTATTTACTGAAGCAAGCTCCTGAGGCTGGGGGAGCCTTTGTGAGCGTTTCGGGGCTGCGGCTGCGTGCCCCGGTCCCGCAGAGGAGGTCCGGGCGCTGCAGACATGGGCACAGCAGCAGCGGGGAATGGGGCGAGGCCAGGAACAGCCCAAGCTCCCACAAACGGGGACCTGAACCCACGCTGCTCACTCACAGCTCTCGAGCTGGATGTGTTTCCGTGCCTGGAGGTGGTGATGCAGGAGCATTCCCATGCCGGGGGCTCACACCAGGGCGCAGGGCAGAACAGGCGCCCGGTGCGCACACACACGTGTATGCTGAACGTGACCCAGCGTTGGGAGGAGCCGCTCCCCTCCAGGGCACTGCAGCAGCAATCACAGCCCACACATGGACACCGTGTCCTGCGACAAACACCTGAGACACGGAGCTGGTACAGGTTGAGAGCTCTGTGTGACCACGGGTGACTTTATCCAGCCCAATTCCACCCTGCACTTCAGTGGCTGACTTCCCACTTCAGACAGTGAGAACTGTGTGTGCTCAACTTCTAATTTAAAACCTGGAACTTCAAAACATCTTAAAAACAGCACTTGAAACCATAGCTCTGTCTTGAACAGTGCCATAAGGTTCCAGCTCCCTTGGGCCAATGGCAGCGCATCCCTTGCTTGTTGAAGTTACCTGGAAAAGGGAACTGTCACAACAAAAGCGTTGCAGTTCGGGATGGAGCAACCCCTCACAGAAGCAACAGATCCAACTCTTCTCACACAACCACAGCCACGGCCCTCGCTAAGTGAGCACAGCGCAGAACACGGGCAGCACAACAGGACTGCCTCTTCTCCACGAGATGAGAGTAACTCTACTGGTTCTTAAAATTGTGTTTTTACCAGAAGCCCGATACTCGATCTCCTGTACTGTTACCTTACCACCCTGGCTGCCCTCCTTAGGAAGCGCTCACCAGCACACGGGAGCAGCACAGCACATCAGCTACTGCATCGCCCAGAGTGTCTGTGCAAAATGCGATCCCATGCAATGACCTCAGCGGCTACAGGAAATCAGATGTATTCTCATCTCTTCACAGGGCAACACTGCAACATCGCCAGCTGCCACAGGCAGGGACGAGACCATCTCTGCTGACAAAACACGCAGGGATGGGAGAACCTGCAAGGCCGAGCCTGACAGACGCAGAGCAGCCCCGCGCAGCCAAGTACGATGGTGCAGGAGAAGCCGTGCTCTGCTCCTCGTCCGTGCGAGGAAGCCGCAGACGTGTTCGACCATGCTGGCACTCACCGTCATGATGAGCTTCTCGACGCAGTCCGGTGAGACGCTGTGCAGGTGGGTGAGGTGCAGCTGCAGGTGGATCTTGTTGTTCAGCATGTCCTGGCACAGCGGGCAGCGCAGCATGGGCTGCACCGAGTGCTGCGTCATGGCGTGCACCCGCAGCCGGTTCACGTCCGTGTTGCTGTACTTGCAGTAGGGACACTGATACATCTGCAGGGCAAGAAAAATGAATCACGCAACTGTTACAGCTTTCCTCTTTCCTTACAGCCACACTCTGGTAACTCCATGCCTTCTCCTACCACCCGTTATGGCCTTTCATCCTCCTTCTCCCATTTCATTCTTTGCTTTTGGCACATATGAAACCAATTACCTGCTCACAGATGCACAAAAAGCTGGGTTCTTCTTCCTTACCTGCTCTGATTTGGTCTCCTCCGAAGTTTTTGACCATTTAAAGGAGAGAGGCGACTCAGAGCTGCTGGGAAATGATATTCGTTTGGAGGATGCTGGAGGCTCTGCCAGCTCCTTCTCTGCCTGGCTGGCTGGTGCTGCAACACAAAGAGATTTACATCAGGACATCCTCAAAGAGGCTCCACTTGGACACAGGCAGCATCGCCACTCACTTTGTGCTGCTCCTGGAAACACATACCAGGGCATTGGAGGATGAGTCTGAGCCTAACTTACAGAGCCCGCCTGGCCAAGAGAAGCTCTCTCTTGGTTATCTTCCATAGTAAAGGAACTGTGTCATTTACAGCCCCAAGGAGAGGAATCCCAGCTGGTCCTGTGGGCTGCTCACAACCCGCTGGGTGCAGGAGCCTTGTGCTGTGTCTGTTGGACACACGCGTGCGTGGACACACGCGCAGGCCAATGCGTCACCTCCAGGAGCAGCCGGACTGACCCAGCAGAGCTCCTTGCCCCCAAGGGCTCTCAGATGGACACTGGGGATCTGGCCTTGCTGAGGGATGGAAGCTGCGGCTGTCAACCCACCCCAGTGGATCTGCTGGGATCAGCGCGGGAACAGCACCAGGAGCTGCACCCAGGGAACTTCCCACACTTGGCCCCACCACAACCACCATGCAGAGACCCGGCCTGCAGCCAGCGCTGGGACGGGACCCGGGCACTCTCACACGCACTGAGGAAAAGGGATTTTAGTTCAGCAGAACAGGAAGAAGCAAACGAGCCCCGGAGTCAACAGAAACACTGCAAGTTGAGGCGCTCAAGCAGCACATCCTGACCTTTACCCCTCCCCCGGACCCCTGCAGTCCATAAATTTGTGGGACATCTATTATTTAAAAACTGTAAGGACAAGTATATTATACACAGCCCCCGTCTCCTCCTCCCCGAACACACATTCATAACAGTACTTTAATCTGTCTCGAATCGACTTCAAACCCATTTCGCCCTTAATGGGAGTTATTCATTTTCACTTGAAAGGTAATATATGACAGCTGGATATTTAATATGATGGATCGGCTGCCGATTAACAAGGCACTGTAGCGTTCTTAGACTGGTCCCCCATACTCTTCCCATGTCTCTAATTCTCTTTGTGAGCCCACTGGTATCCGCTCCTTGTTTCAGAAGATGTCATCAGAGCAAGACGTGTGTAATCCGCTTCCTGCTCAAGGAGCCTTCTCCTCCCCAACACGAGCTGTGTTTCGGATGGTGCAAGTGGCCCCGCTAAGGAGGGTCATGGCTGCTGACACCATCCCCTCCACGGTGCGACCTCGGGCGCTGCAGCATCAGCCCCAGTCAGGCCTGGAGGCTGGGACCGCAGACCCCAGGGCTGGGACAGAGTCTGCTGTCCCTCTCGGACCTCTTCCTAGGACAGTGATGCTGTCTTGGCATGGTCCGGGAGGGTCCCTCTGTATGTGCCAATGGCCACCTCAAACCTTGGGGTCTCATCTGCTCTGCAAGACACTGCCGAGCGCTGCTGTGAGCGCTGCTGGCTCTGCCAGCCTGCGAGAGGGACAGGGGACACAGTGGGAAGGGCCGGGCTGAAGGAGCCTCTGCTCCTGTACGGTGGAACCTTTCTTCTGGGCAGCAGCCTGGCTAGAATTAGGGAAAGTAAAAGGTCACTACAACTTACATTTATCTACCATCTCCAAAGCGCCCATTTTTATGAAACGCACTTGATCCAACCCAGAACTTTAATCCTCCAAACCCAGAATCATTAATGACTGTCCAGACCCCACAATAACTGGTATGTTGCAGACTGCCGAAAAACGCCTGCCGAGTATTTGTTCTAAGTGGTACTTTTTGAGTTGACAGCTTAAGCGGGAATTTCGACACCGAGACCGGAGTTTACTGTTGATAAACAGCCAACGCACGGCGTGACACATTCAGTCCACATCACAGATCAGAGGAACTCAGAGCTCGCTGCTGCCTGCAGAAACGAGGACGCGCAGCTCGGTGCTGAGCTCTCCAGCAGCAGCGCGGGACCCACAGTCTTTGTGGGGTGCACGGGACAAAACGTCCTCATCCAAAAATGCCCCAGGGGCCCCAGCACCCGAGGAAGGGAGCACGGGTCTGTGCCCTGGCCACGTCTGAGACCAGTGCAGTGGTGCAGGCCTTGCAGGACAGAAGGGAATCTGGGTTTAACGTATCACACACAACTACAAATCAATCAGTATTTTGACTCTTTAAATGGATTTAGTTCAGATTTGTCAACAAGCCAAGCGCCACGGGATGGGGCTGCTGCAGACGAGCTGGCCCGACACAGCGCTTCCTGGAGACCTCCTGGTCTTCTCACTCTTCAGAGGGCGGGGCAGGAACCCTGACAGGTGCCACTTCGGAGGTGGGATAGACCCTGCCTTGGACATGGGATAGACCCTGCCTGGGATGTGGGATAGACCCTGCCTTGGATGTGGGATGGGATCCTGTCTGGGACATGGGATAAACCCTGCCTGGGATGTGGGATAGACCCTGCCTTGGACGTGGGATGGGACCCTGCCTGGGACATGGAATGGGATCCTGCCTTGGATGTGGGATAGACCCTGCCTTGGACATGGGATCCCTTCCTGTGCCAGGCCCAGGGACAGACCCATGAGGGTCCCTCATGCTGCCTGCTCTGGATCCTGGTGGGAAGGGAGCCGCCCCCCAGCCATCAGATTCTTTAGCTAAAGCACCGCTGACAGCCCCTTCATCTAAACTTCCATCTCCCAACCCAGCAACATAATGGAGAAGCCAATTAAATGATTATTAATTCATGCTGCTTTCCGTAAGCCAGAGGTTCTCATCTCCCTGCATTCCGTAAACCAGCTTGCCACTTGCCCTAGAAATTTACAGTGGGGTTTCTCCTTTCGCCATTGATTTAACGAACGCTGCCCTCCCTGCCCCCGTCTGCTGAAAAATCCCTTCCCACCGCCTTCAGCAGCCTGGGAAAAAGTTTCCATGGGAGCGGGGAGCGGTGTTTTCACTGCCCGATGGAAAATCAGATCCATATTTGGCAGCAGCTCCCTCCTCGGCTCCCTGACGTCTCCGTTACTCAGCACATGAGCCCCTGGCCCGTGCTGACCTGGCCGCTGCACCGCACGGCCCACGGATGGAGATACCACCACGGCAGCTGTCACCCGCATGGGCCTCGTGGAGGAGCATCCTCCGGCGGTGTTGGTTTTCCTCCCAAAATCCCGAGGTCAGAGCAGCCGTTTCAGTGGTTTCACACTCACATGGCTGAGGGGCACGGCCAGGCCCCATGGCCCAGACCTGCGAGCCCCGCTCGGGGCTTCCCAAAAAGCACTTGGACCACAGCGCTGCTGCGGCGCTGCCACTCGTTACCGCCCATCTTAATAACACATGGAGGGATGTTTCCTTCTGAAACACCGCCTGTTTACATCCCTTCTCCCCGAAGGTGCCGTCCTTCTAATAAGATGTTGTAGCCACACTAACAACCAGCCCTTCATATTGCCTGTTGCTCTACAGTATTTTTTCAACCCTGTATCTGATAAATAACGTGCTTGCGTGATGGACAGAAGTAAATACACAGAGATTTGCAAGCACACTTTTGTACCCAGACCTTTATTGCTGCCTTTCAGAAACGTGGCCCTGAAAGAGGCCAAATAATTTGTTTTCCTAATGCTGTGTCATACCTTGCAGCCTGCAGTGAGTGCGAACAGCTGAATTACTATGAAATATTCATAGGACAGGACCCAGGAGCCCCGGCTGCCACCAGACTTTGCTGCCCGGCTCTGTACAAATCAGGCACCCAGGAAATGCTGCGGGGGTGTGGGGAGGCTGCGAGCATCCACATTCCCTGCTCCGCAAACCGGGAGAGAGAAACCGACCCACGGCGGCCGGGCTGGAAACCAACAGCAGCAGAAGGGCATGGATCAGCCTCAAAGTGAGGAGAGCCCAGCGCTGACCCCAGGGGCAGGACAGGTCCCGCTCTGCCGGGAAACGTGCACCGGGAAAGATGGGGTGTGTGGAAAATCACCCCTTTATGTGCCCATTGCAACCCCCCAAAGCACCGCGCGTTTCCCCCAGCAGCGGTGTCCGAGGCCGTATCTGTAGAACCCTGGGAAACCTTGGCTTTTCCAGATTACAAAGTGGCCGAAAGGAAACAAGCAAGAATCTTTTATATTTACCCATTTCATACGGTTCTTGAGCCAGCTATCAATGTGTGTGAACACTACTGCCCAATTCAACTGAATAAATATTTCAACTAACCCGCCACGAGAGTCCACATCAACTAACTTATTAAACCACCGTGCTGAGCTTGGGAAACACCATAAACATTGTAATTCTGCTCACAGAATGACAACAGTAACTCCTCACACCCAGCAGCAAGGGGTCCTCAGCCCCACGGGAGCTGGGGCCGAGAGCTGCTCCATCGCCCGGCTCCATCGCCCCGGCCCCGTCCTGCCCTGGTCCCCGCCATCTCCCAGCCACGCAGTGCTCAGCAATCGCCATATATTAAAGAAGTGAAGGCGGCCGCGGGGGAGGGGCAGTAATAGATTTCCGTCAGGATGTGCCTGACCTGTTTTTTTCAATTTCAGTAATTAGAAAGGCAGTGGGCCTGTAGGAATTATTCATAAACTGCAGGAGCTGTGCAGTATACATTTATGTTAAACATGTCAAATCCGATTGAAATCATGCCTGCCAGCACCATACTCCATAAACACACTTTTCTGCAACAATTTCCCAGCTCTCGGCAGCCCATTAATACCTCCTTTAATAGCAATCTACCACGGATTCGAATCAGGGATGCTCCATTGCACTAATTGCTCTGTGTTAGGTGAGCATCATGGATTAAAGAAAAAAAAATCATTAAAAAAAATAAAAGCCCTTCAGGCTAGTCCTCTAGAAGTATTTCATTTCAATCTATATTTTAAGTAGACTTTGTCTCTTGTTTTTGTGGAAAACCCCCTGATATTCTACATCCACACAACTGGCAGTGCATTAAGTCTCTTGCGTAGCTGGGTCACTGCAGACGAAGGTTTTTCTCCAATCAGGAAACACGCACAAGCCCCAGCCCAAATCTCCGAAGTCTTGTTCTGATCCACCCTGGTCGGCTCAGGCCTGAGCTGGAGCCCACATGCTGCATATTAATTAATGATATTAATGATTTACACCCTGTCTTAGGAACAGAGCTGGAACAGTCACCATTTCTCTGCTCCTCCTTTACTGGTGATGAATCTCGGGTTGGTCACGATGGGATCGTTCCCATCCCTGGCCATGGGCAGAGCATCCCTGGCCATGGGCAGAGCATCCCCAGCTCCTGGGGCGGCTCTGGAGCAGGCAGGGGAGCGGGGCAAGGGCTGCTCTGAGCGTCTGAGGGACTCCGTGTTTGAAGGGTCACACCACAGCGCTAGGGATGGTGAACACCGCTGGTAATGGTGAACACCGCTAGAGATGGTGAACACCGCTGGGGATGGTGAACACCGCTAGGGATGGTGAACACCGTTAGAGATGGCGAACACCGCTAGGGATGGTGAACACCACTGGGGATGGTGAACACTGCTGGTGATGGTGAACACTGCTGGTGATGGTGAACACTGCTAGGATGGGGGAAAATGGTGGGGATGGGGGACACC